AGAGGGATGTGGAGGCTGGTAAACCCATACACACTGGACACCAGCTGATTTCTTTCTCTTGTGAGGCCCCAAAGACTGACAAAATGAACTTGAATATCCACGTCAGGACTTAGCTATGGGGAAGTTTCCTGATCCAAAAGGAACTACAGAAGGATGTGCAAGCACGGGTCTCTCTGAGCATCTTGATTACCTGATTTATCTTTCTATTATGGAACTTGTCACCCCCCACACACACACATACACCCCCACACAGCAGAGGGGATGGTATAATGAACTCCCACGTGCCCATAACGCAGTTATCCACATTTTGCTAATCTGCTCTCATCTATTTTCATAAACGCACCCACGCCTACCCACCCACACGTGCTTGCTTCTCTCCCCTGCTGGAGTGTTTTTAAAGCATGCGACAGCCACCATGTCGTTTCATTTGTGAATACTTCTAGATGTATTTCGAACAGAGGAGAGCTTCTCTGCTGCTGTCCCATGTCCCACCTAGGAGACTAGTAACAGTTCCTTTATGCCTCCTCCTTGGAAGCAGATGGGCTGGTACAGCCGAGGGCCTGTGCGCCTAGAGTCCCTCCCTCCGCTCTGCCATGGCCTCACTTCCTCTCACGGGGCCTGGGTCACGTCATTCATAAAGTCAGCCTCAGGGAGAGCCTCTTCCGGCCCCCCCATCTCACCGTTTCCCTTGAGAATAGCTGGGGCTTTGGCTAGGCCGGGGCACATCCCACCCTGCTGGAAAGCAGCGGTAGAGAGCAGATGAGCTCTTAAAGCCCCACTTGCATTACGTGCTCTTCATAATCAAAGCAATCATATTTTCCATGAGAAGAGCACCTCCGTTGTTTGCGGAGGCAGGCTGAGGCCCTACTTCCAGAGAATTCACAAGAGTAAAGGCAGCCAGAAGTCACTGTTTAAATGCTAGATGTTCTAACTTAAGTAGTAATTCTGCTTGGCCCATCCCGTTTCCCTTGGTCCTAGCTGGTCATGGTTCGTAATCCGAAGCAGGCCGTATTGAGCATTCCCATTCCCTTGTACTGGCTTCTCTTTTTATTTTTTTTATTTTTTTCCAATTTTTTATTTATTTCTGAGAGAGAGAGACACACACACAGCGTGAGCAGGGGAGGGTCAGAGAGAGAGGGAGACACAGACTCTAAAGCAGGCTCCAGGCTCCGAGCCAGCCATCACCACAGAGCCTGATGCGGGGCTCAAACCCACGAACCCACAAACCATGAGATCATGACCTGAGCCGAAGTCGGATGCCCAACCAACTGAGCCACCCAGGTGCCCCTGTGCTGGCTTCTCTTAAGCATCATCACCTGGGCCCTCCCAGCAGCTTTTGAAGTAGGTATTCTTAATCCCAGGCAGGGACCGTTCCTGACGCTGAGACGGAGGCCCACTGTGGTGATGTATATATCCACACACGTGTGTCCTTTCTCCACGCGCCCTTGTGGGAACGCAGCTTTGTGAGGATCTTCTGCCCCACTAATCTTCATTTAATCCCCCTCCCCTGCAGCACGTTGTCACCTAGCACACCCCTGCTGACAGGCTCTCTGTAAGTCTTCATCTGAGTGACGGCCCTGGAAAATCAAGCTGTGGTCTCGAAAGGGAAGGAGGATCTGCAGATTATCTCCTCAGCATGTGCAGTCACTCTGCTGGCAGTTCTCAGGGCCGCTTTTATGTTGCCTCAACAAAGAGAGCGGCTGCCAAGAGCATGTAATGTTCTGTTCAGAATTCTCCAGGCTGGCAGAGGCTGCGACAGTGGAGACACAGGGCAAGATGAAAAAATTCCCATCTCAGCCAGGCCCGTCGCCTCCTACCCTCACGCGTGTCCGGAAGTCTTTGTTTTTGAGACTCTGCCGATGATTCTGTATAAAGCCTTGGAAGTGTCAGACGAGGAAGAAGGAGAGGAGGGAGGGGAGTGCATGGGCGAGCTGGCTGGGGGTCAGATCATTTTGCCATCACCAGCAGGCAGTTTCTTTCACAACTCATTGAACCCTGGGTAGCCATTATCGTCCCAACTGCTCCCTGTTAACCAGGCCAGACTCTTGAGGCTGTGAGAGGAAGCAGGAATTCCTTGTCCTTTCTGTTGCTCTCTAAATACCGCTGGTACCGCACTCAGACAGCATGCTGTAGGCCACAAAACTTATTTGATAGGCACTGTTATGTTTCTCATACCACTTCTCTGAGATGGTATAGCCTGACCCAAATAAGAAAACAAAAACACCAAAATGTTTTCAGTTAGGAAAGAAAGGGAAAGAAAGAAAGAAAGGTTCAGAGACACCAAGTGACTGCCTAAGGTACCCAGCCAAATAAGGTGGGGGCCATTCCCATTGTGTTTGTAAATGCTCAGGACGGACCCCACGACAGGGCTTGATCCCACAGCCCTGGGATCGTGACCTGAGCCAGAATCAAGAGTCAGACAGATACTTAACCAACCAAGCCACCCAGGTGGCCTACCATTTTGTATAATTAAGTTTCATTTGTTCTAGGGCAAACTCAAAAATATTTTTTTCCTACTTCACCATTAAAAAAAAACCATTTTTAAATGTTTATTTACTTTTGAGAGAGAGAGAGAGAGAGACAGAATCCAAAGCAGGCTCCAGGCTCTGAGCTGTCAGCACAGAGCCTAGCACAAGTCTTGAACTCACAAACTGCGAGATCATGACCTGAGCCAAAGCTAGATGCTTAACTGAATAAGCCACCCAGGCAGCCCCCTACTTCACCATTTTTAATGGCACTATGTTATTCCATTAGACAGAGAACCATGATTTACTGAGGTTTTTTTTATATAATTTATTGTCAACTTAACTAACATACATTGTATACAGTGTGCTCTTAGTTTTGGGGGTAGATTGGGTTATTTTTAAACTATGAAATATTTTACTCTCATAAGAAAATATACAGACTAATTACCATAGTTTAATCTCTACCACCTTGAGAATTTTCTTTCCTGGAAGCCTACAGTAATTTCAGTAACTAATATTTGAATTTCAGTCTGCAGTTTATAGTGCTCTTGCACATACATTATTTCATTTGATCCTCACCACTGCCCTCTAAGATTGGCATTGAGATTATTATTTTCCTCACTTTATAGATGAACTATGAAAAGCTCAGAGAGGCTAAGTGATTTTTCCAGTATCCCGAGCTGACTTAACATGAAGGAGCTGGCTGGGCTCAGAAGTAGACAGACAGAATGGCTTTGGAGGGGCAGACCTCCACCCCGGACAGGAGAGGACATCAGTCCAGAAGGGCAGCCTCACATGCTCCTCCCTGCCCACCTCACCGCAGCATTTCTGATGTGTGCTGGCATTATTCGCATCCTGACTGCCCCCCTTACACACCCTGTGTGCTCTCTGAGGACAGCCGTGCGTCTATTTCACTGTCTGCCCCCCTGCCTACCACAAAGCTGAGCACCCAGTAAATCCCAGCTCAGCACATGAGCCAGTGAGTGAAACGTGTCACACAGATAAGCAAATTGTGGGGCTGCACTTTGACAGCTTGCTTTCTTGGCGTGTCTATTTTCAGTTCAGACTTTTAACAAGAACCCAGCTTGGTGTTTTTGAGTTTTTGTGCTTCAGCAGGTTTGGGACGCCACTGAGAAGCTCACGCACTAAGTCATGGAAGAGTGTGTTCAAATCCAAGTGCAAGGAGAAACTATTTGTGTACTAGATTCTCTCCATCTTTTCCAGTGCCCCTGTCCCTACCCCAGGCCCCATTGGAATCAACCAGGCTCTGCTTAAAGTTGCCTCCCAAATTACTTTGATGATATATATCCCTCCTTTGGAACTACTTTATATTTTTTATGTTGATGATATATCCCATTTTGAACTGCTTGTAGAAACCATGGCTTAGCTGAGGGTTGTTTAAAGTCCTGTCATTATCGACTATAAAAGCTATAGAACAGAATTACAGGAAATTTTGGAACAAAAAAATCATTCAAATGCCATCACCTCACAAGGCAACAGTTTCCATTTTTGCATAATCCCCTCAAGGTCTTGTCCATGTGCATGCACTCATTTTCCTAGATGTTGTCACAGGGAGCATGGAGCATTGTTTCCTGCTTTTTTCACTTATTAGTGTAAGAACCTTTCCCCCCCACTTTTCTACACAGATTTCATAATTATCTTTTAATGACTGCATAATCCTCTGTTGAGTTGATATACCAAAATGTACTTCCACAGCCCACAGTGTTGGCCATTTCAGATGTTTCTGATTTCCCACTAATCTACAAATGCTGTGGTGAAGATTGTTATGCAAATAGCTTTTACATTTGTCAAGTGACTTCCTTCAAATATATTCCCCTGAGTAGGATTGCAGGGTCTGAGCAGGACCCTGTTTGTGACACTTGCCTTCCTGCTCCTCCACGCTCTCTCCTCCTTAATGTCCGGCCAGTGATGTGTTCACCAATTCAGGGCAACTTCATCAGTGTAGGGTGGTGCTAAAATTTTTTGTTTGCTAATTTAGCTGAAGGAAAATGGTACTGCAGGATGGCTTTATTTTGCATTTCTTTGATTATTAAAAGAAATTAGCATTTTCCCCTGTGGTTATTCTTTGTATTTTTTGGATGTGAGTTGTCTGCTCACACTTACTGTTCTTTGCCTGTTTCAGTAAATTGGGGTTTTGATTTTATTTTTAATCAAACCAAATATCTTCATACACAATAGCTATTAGGTTTTGTCATGTATGTTTCACATATTTTCCAGCATTGTGTTTGCCTTTAAATTTTAGATATTATTTGAGTACAAAACTTCTTAATTTTGTAATCAAATCTGTCCATGTTTTTTTTTTTTCTTTTTTTCTTTTTCTGTTGCTTCAAAGCTTAGAAAGCTATCTCCCCTCTGGAAAGCTGATAAATATTTAATGCTACCTTCTGTTATTTTAAATTCTCTAATTCATCTGGATTGTATTTGTGAATAAATTGAGTTGCGAATGACATTTTCCCCCCCAAATTGCTCATCAGTTATTCTAACCTCATTCTGTTCCTTTATTCTCTTTCTCAGGAATCATACACCAGATGAAGGGCGATTATGATACTGCACTGAAACTCCACAAGACCCACCTGTGCATCGCCCAGGAGCTGAGTGACTACGCTGCCCAGGGCCGTGCCTATGGGAACATGGGTAATGCCTACAGCGCTCTGGGCATGTACGACCAGGCAGTCAAGTACCACCGGCAGGAGCTGCAGATCTCCATGGAAGTGAATGACCGTGCCTCCCAGGCCTCCACCCACGGGAACCTGGCCGTGGCGTACCAGGCCTTGGGTGCCCACGACCGGGCCCTGCAACATTATCAGAACCACCTGAACATTGCTCGCGAGCTTCGCGACATCCAGAGTGAGGCCCGGGCCCTCAGCAACCTGGGCAACTTCCATTGCTCTCGGGGGGAGTATGTCCAGGCCGCCCCCTATTATGAACAGTACCTCCGGCTCACTCCCGACCTTCAAGACATGGAAGGAGAAGGGAAGGTCTGCCACAACCTCGGCTATGCCCATTACTGCCTTGGAAATTACCAGGAGGCGGTCAAGTACTATGAGCAGGATCTGGCACTGGCCAAAGACCTTCACGACAAATTGAGCCAGGCAAAAGCATACTGCAACTTGGGCCTAGCCTTCAAGGCTCTGCTGAACTTCAGCAAAGCTGAAGAGTGTCAGAAGTACCTACTGTCCCTTGCCCAGTCCCTAAATAATTCCCAGGCTAAATTTCGAGCCCTAGGGAACCTGGGTGATATATTCATCTGTAAAAAAGATATAAATGGTGCAATAAAATTCTATGAGCAGCAGCTGGGCTTAGCTCACCACATAAAGGACAGAAGACTGGAAGCCAGTGCATACGCAGCCCTGGGCACGGCATACCGCATGATCCAGAAATACGACAAGGCCTTGGGTTATCACACGCAGGAACTGGAGGTCTATCAGGAGCTGAGCGATTTGCCAGGGGAGTGCAGAGCTCATGGGCACCTGGCTGCCGTCTACATGGCCCTGGGGAAATATACAATGGCGTTCAAGTGTTACGAAGAGCAGCTGGATCTAGGGCAGAAGCTGAAGGACCCCAGTCTGGAAGCCCAGGTCTATGGCAACATGGGCATCACAAAGATGAACATGAACGTGATGGAAGAGGCCATCGGCTACTTTGAGCAGCAACTGGCCATGCTGCAGCAGCTAAGTGGAAATGAGTCAGTGCTCGACAGGGGCCGGGCCTACGGCAACCTGGGGGATTGTTACGAGGCCCTGGGTGACTATGAGGAAGCTATCAAGTACTACGAACAGTATCTGTCTGTGGCCCAGAGTCTGAATCGCATGCAAGACCAAGCCAAGGCTTACCGGGGACTAGGAAATGGCCACAGGTAAAAATGACAGGGGACAAATGTGGTTGATGACATGCACCAAGAGCATCTGTGGCAGTAATGGCAACTTAAGTCTGCATGACAGCTTGTTAACGACAGAGCATTTTCGTATGTGTCTTATTTGCCTCCTCCAGTGATTTTGTGAATTTAGCAGGGATGTTATCACCCTTATGTTATGGAGGGAACGACTAAGGCTCAGAGAGGTTGGATCAACGTCCAAAATTACACAGCTTAGAAAGGACACCCCAGAATCAAACCCAGGGCTGTCTGACCCAAAATGCCATGTTTTTGTGACTACATCGTAGAAGGATAAAAGGGATAATGGGAACGGGAAAGGTGGATGCATCCATCCAACTGACTTTTTCTGAAGGCCTCTCACATTATATGAATGTGTTTGTTAATACAACATCCATCCCCACCAGTTACTAGGACTCCCACTTCATTGCTTTTAGGGAAAGTCACCTAAGGACGGCAGGAGTGAATAAACATATACTATCATCATCATGCCAGGCACCTTGCAGTGATATCTTGCTTAGTATTTATGGCAGTCCTGTATTACTCTACACTTATTATGATCCGCTATGGGCTGTGGGATTTACTATCATTCAGAAACGGAGGCTCAGGGAAAGGAAATCATGTGCCCCACACAACTGGCTTGGTCTGCCGCCAAAATCCATGCTCTTCCCAGCCTTATCATGTCATCTCTTAGCAGCATAAAAAGACACACTGTTGGCCAAGGTGATGCTTTCCTTCTGAATGTGGGGAACCCAAGAAGGTGTCTGTGTCTGCAGAATTTACGGCCCTTTCAGATCAGCAGGGGATTAGGGCTCCTGGAGTGGAGGAAGGGCAAGGGTCAAACTAAATCATCACCCACAGAGTGCTCCGAGGAGCTCAGGGTGAAAGATTTATAGCCATTGTAAAGTGATTTCAAAAACATAGTCTAAGCGGTAGTGGAAATTGGGAGGCCCAAAGAACCAAACAGTTCACTTGCTATCATTGTGCCTATTAATATATTTTATGTTTCCTCTGGGGTGTATATCCCATTGAATCTCAAGCTCTTGGGAAGGTCACTAAGAGATGACTTTTGAATTGCTTTCCAGATTATGAAATTCCCCTGTATCTCACTCTAAGGGCACATGATAGATTTTAGCTAGAAGAGGAGTTAAGAGCTTCTATAGTAAGTGACAATGACAAATGCTTTTCATTTTCTCAGGGGCTTTAGCATGTCTGCACCTGCACAAAATAATATCATTGCTTTTCTGTCTACATCCCCACAGGGCAATGGGGAGCTTGCAGCAGGCCCTCGTGTGCTTTGAAAAGAGGCTCGTGGTCGCCCATGAGCTCGGGGAGGCCTTTAATAAAGCCCAGGCCTATGGAGAGCTAGGAAGTCTGCACAGCCAATTAGGGAATTACGAACAAGCCATTTCCTGCCTTGAACGCCAGCTGAACATTGCTAGAGAGATGAAAGATCGCGCACTGGAAAGTGATGCGGCCTGTGGCCTCGGTGGCGTTTACCAGCAGATGGGGGAGTATGACACGGCCCTGCAATACCACCAGCTCGACCTGCAGATAGCAGAGGAGACCAATAACCCCACGGGCCAGGGGCGAGCCTACGGGAACCTGGGCCTGACATATGAATCCCTGGGCACCTTTGAGAGGGCTGTGGTCTATCAGGAACAGCACTTGAGCATCGCGGCACAGATGAATGACTTGGTGGCCAAGACGGTGTCGTATAGTAGCCTCGGAAGGACCCATCATGCCTTGCAGAACTATTCCCAGGCAGTAATGTACTTACAGGAAGGTAAGCGAAAAGGCCTGGGGTGGTCTCTTGGTGTACTCTGAGATCGAGTTCAGAGTCTACTTGGAAGGAAGGGTGCACAGTTGGAGTGGCCACCTCTGCTTGGGGTGAGCAGCTCAGAGGCTGTATCGTTAGTTCAACCCGAAAACCGCGGTGCCCCCGCTGGGTGTTCCTTAATAGCTCAAAGGCATTGCATCGCCCAGAATGCGTTACCCGGGTTCTGTAACACTCGTAGCCAGCTGCCCAGAGCAAACATGTTCCCACACAAGAGGAGTCAAGGTAAGCTTTTGTCGTGTAAAATTTAAGGTCCTGAACCAGAGGAAAACACCCATCAGGTCAAAGCCCTGTTGTCCTTCTGGAAAATACATAAACGGTAACAACACTGTATAGAAGTCAATTTTGATGTGGCAGCTGAGATCTGATCCAGTCTGAGGGTCCCTCCAGCCGTTGACCAGGCTTGCTTCCCAGTGTGTATTGTCCACAGGGCCTGCACTGGTGCTGTGGCGGCCTTGTGCCTGGCACAAGTGACAGGAAGCGATTGCTCCTGCCATGGCCTCCTCTTCCTCCTCCTTCCCTTCTCTCTCCTCGACCTCCCCCTCCCTCACCCCCATCTCTGCTGCTGTCAGGTTCCATGCAGCTACTGCTCCAGAAAGCTCTTCCCCTCACATGGGCACACTGCATCCTCCCATCCTGGGAAGGGGAAATGGCAGATACGATGTTCTTGGCTCAGTAGCCAAAGGAAATAGTTGCTGACTTCAAGTAAAAACTGCGTTTTTTAGTTTCCAGGGGCCTTTGCATATATAGTCTCTTTAATCAGATTTAATTCTCACAGTAACCTTGGGAGGTGATCTTTATTCCCATTTACAGCCAGAAGATCTGAGGCTCAGAGAGTCCAGTGGCTTAGTCCTGACCATATGGTCAGTCTGGGGTGGAATGGGGCCCAGTCCAACTTTTCCAACCCCAGAAGCCACACAAGACCCTATGTGGAGTTGTTTCTAATCTCCCAAGCACAGAGGAGGGTTGGAGCAGTCAGACACCCCCTATTACTCGGGAGCCCCAGCTGGGAAGCCAGGAGCGAGGGAAGCGGGAAGCAAAGTAGAGAATGAGCCAGAAGCTGATGGTTTGCTGTCATCCTCCACGCAGACCAGACGTTGCTCTGGCTTGCAGGCTGAGAGGTTACCTAGAGTCTGGGAGCCACTTTCCAGACCTTATTTGGCTCCACTCAATGGCGGCTCTGCCTCAATGCATTAAATATGAGAGTTGGCTTTGGGTTTCCCGAAACTTAACTGTGGTCAAATTCCAATAGACTGGGGGCGATTTTCAGTTTTGTGAAAACTATTAAATTCAGACCCAGCATATGACAGCCTTTCAGCTATGTTCTTTTGTACTTCCTGAAATGTTGTTTCCATAAAGCAGCTGCTTTTGCCCGAGACCTTGTAACATAATTCTATATTTATGGAAAACTCCCAATTTCATTTTTATTGTTTCTTGTCATTTTAAGTCCTGTGGAGATCTCACTTCTTGTTGTGGCATCTCCCTGGTATCTGTGTTCCATGGACGTGCTCCACCAGAAATCCTGGGGTGTCTCATGAGCCAAGTTAGACACCTCTTCTCATGAGCTGTTACAGGTGCAGATGCCTGCAAGGCCCTTTCCGAGAGCTCTGAGTCACATCTGCAGCATCTTGCACTGAGGGAACAGCTCACTCAGACACCACCGTGGTTCTGTCTCTCTCTCTCTCTCTCTCTCTCTCTCTCTCTCTCTCTCTCCTCTTTCTCTCCTGGCTTTCAGAGAGGGCTGCAAGTCAGCAGCACCCTGCACTCCGCCCGGTTTACCAGAACCTTCTAGGTGGGGCCTGCTCTGAGATGGCTGTATAAGTGCTCCAGGTGATTTGTATAGACATCTCCGTGTAAAGCCACTGGTCTTTCCAGCTCTTTCTCTTTTTGCAAATGAAAAAAAGAAGCCTAGACAATTTAGTGACCTGCACAGTCACATGCAACTAGTTCCTAGCAAACCAGGCTTCAGGGATGCTGGTTGGGTGGGTTAGATTCCTAAGAGGCAGAGGCAGCTAGGAGCAGGCAGGACAGATACTGTGTCTGCCTAGTGCTTTTACCTCCTCATTGTTGAACCTGACTGTGGGCTGGAGTGTGGCCTACGTGAGGGGATCCAGTGGGGAACAAGGGCCCCGCTCACACAGAACTTTCTAGGGAGGCTACCTCAATGAATTTTACTTCCAACTCATATGAATACAGTTCTCATGTTGAAGACTAAAACAACCAGTGTTCCCCTGCTTGTCACCAACAACCATCTTCTTCCATCAGTGTTCCTATTCTAGCAAGTATTTTAAAATGTGAATAATTTCCAAGTATTATTTTTGTTAACCAGTGACATGAGTTAAACATAATGTGGTGTTTCTAAGTTTCCTGAGTTATGTGCATTTTGAAATGCATACATTTTATGAACAGGGACCTGAATATCACTTTTATTATCGTCTCAACTGACTCCGTTCCTTTTCAAAAGTCAGAAATTGCATGGGCCCAGCATGCTCAGAGGCAGGCTCCCATGCACTCCAAATTCGATTCAAAAAAGGAAGTCCTTCCTTTGTGAGTATAGCTATAGTGTGGGAGCCTTCACACTGTCCTCTGCACAAGGTAACTCCTGCGTGCAGAGAGCCAGGTCATGAGGACAAAGCCATCCCAAGAACTGCTTAGTGGCCAGTACAATAAATGGTTGCCCTCGGATTTGGATCGCAGAAAGCCCTGGAGGTGGCTGGTGTCCTGAACGCCAGAAGCTTGCTGTAGGCAAGTGACCCAAACTGCAGGTATCTCTCTGAAGGCCATTAGAATGAGGACAGCCTCATTTAAGGCTTTCAACTCATAATAGCACTTGTTCTGAAACCCTGCTGGGGCACATCAAAGTCTCAGCTTTAAAGGAAAAACAGATTGGACGTGGAATGCATCAGCAGCATCAGGAACAGAAGGCGGGGTCAGACGGTGTGTGCGTTCTGCTTTGGGGAGAACATCAGATGTGTCTGCCATAAACACTGCCTGGGTGCTATGCGTGTGAGATAGGAAGATGTATTAGCTTGGCTTCTGCACTACACTATGGAACTGTCAGGAAGAAGCCTCTGCCTGCCAGACAATTAGGTTAGATAAATGTATAGGCCAGGGGTTTTCATTCGCAAAGCTGAGGATTTCACATCTGGGAGGCGGCCAAGTTAGCTTCATTCACCACAGTGTTTCTGTTTGCCCTGCAAACCTGTTTCCTGCTGGTGGCTGTCACCTGAGCTCTCGCCAGGGCATCTTGAGGTGTCCCAGAAAGGTTGCCGCGGACACAGACTCTGAAGAGAATGCTTACTCTGCCCTGGCTGAGTCTACTTCTGTCCTGTGTCTTATTTAGCCGTTTTGTTAGCATTCTTTGTACCCTCCCCAGGCAGAATGACCCGCCGGGACTCCTTGGCAGGGTGACATTGTCTGTCTTCTATGTGTCCTTAAAATTCCTCTGATTTCAGGTTTAAGGTTAGCTGAGCAACTGGGCAGAAGAGAAGATGAAGCCAAAATTCGCCACGGTCTTGGTCTCTCCCTTTGGGCTAGTGGGAATCTGGAGGAGGCCCAGCACCAGGTGAGCAGGAGAACCCCTGTCCCAAGTGGATTTTGTTGCCAGAAGCAGGATGCCCTCGGGATTACTGTCCTAGCAGTGATGACACTTGCTGGAGGGTGCTAACCCCTACTCTGGGGTCGATGTGCAGGACGTCCCCCCCAGGAGTGCTGAAACACAGTGAAGACTCTTGCTTACCTGTCTGATAGATTTCTCAGTGATTTCTTTGGAATTCTTGGGCCATGTGCTACTGTTTCTCATGAAGCCTTAATAGGAAATTACATGCATTTTATGATAGAAGTCATTCCGGAATTTGTGCCATGACATCCTACAATGTTATGGTATTTTACTTAACTTTTTAAACTATTAAGGGCAGTTTAAAGAATTAACTATTTCCTTGTTTTAAAAATTAAAACTTATATTGCTATAGCTATTTTCCATTTTTGAAGCACAGTCACTCACTGAATTTATTCCTCATATAACCCTGTGAGGTAAAATGACGACCATTCCCTTTATTGAAAAGAAGAAACTGAGGCTCCAGATCTTGCCCAGAGTCACATAATGAATTAATGGTAGAGCTGAGGATACTAAGTGTAAAGTCTCTTAGTCTTGGAATTCTTTCCATTTTAAAAAATATTTTTGTAAATGTTTGTTTATTTTTGAGAGAGAGAGAGAGAGAGTGCGAGTGGGGGAGGGGCAGAGAGAGGAGACACAGAATCTGAAGCTGGCTCCAGGCTCCCAGCTGTCAGCACAGAGCCTGACACAGGGCTCAAACGTACGAGCTGTGAGATCATGACCGGAACCAAAGTCAGACGCTTAACTGACCGAGGCACCCAGGCGCCCCACATTCTTTCCTTTTTTAAAATTTGCATGAACTTAAAATCCTATACTCGTTCTAACATATAAACATTAAAGTCTTGGGGCACCTGGGTGGCTCAGTCAGTTGAGTGTACGACTTTGGCTTATGTCATGATCTCACAGTTAGTGGGTTTGAGCCCCACATCGGCCTCTGTGCTGACAGCTTAGAGCCTAGAGCCTGCTTCTGATTCTGTCCCTCTCTCTCTCTTTCTCTCTGTGTCCCTCCCCCACTCATGCTCTGTTTCTCTCTCTCTCTCAAAAATAAACAAACAAACAAAAAAAAAGCGATAGAAAAGTCTTGTGGTCTCCTTGATGGAGAAACCACTTAAAGCAGCAGGATGGTGTCTTTTTTAAAGTTTTTTATTTATTTTTGAGAGAGAGTGAGTGAGCACAAACATGCAGAGGGGCAGAGAGAGGGAGACACAGAATCCCAGGCAGGCTCCATGCCAGCAGCACAGAGCCTGATGTGGGGCTTGAATTCAAGAACTGTGAGATCACGACCTGAGCCAAATCAAGAGCCAGCTGCTTAACTGACTGAGTCCCCCAGGCACCCCAGCAGGAGGGTGTCTTTTCAGGAGTCTCACGCATCGGGTCCTGCGGGTGTTCCTGTGATCGGGTGTGGCTCCAGAGGCGCTTGTCCAGGGAAGACCGGACCTGGTCACTATGGTGGAGCACGGTATTTGATTCAGCTAAATGGCCAGCAAAAGGCTGCCCTCCACGGGAAAGTGTGGCTGCCTTATCTCAGTCCCCCCAGCCTCGACCATTTCCAGCCTGCCTGCTCCCCACCTGTGCTCATTCCAGGTTTGGGGCTCCCTGGGGCCTGCGTGGTGAATTACAGTGGCCTGATGACAGGAGGAGAGGCCTTTTGTTTGTTTGAATCCAAATCAGCTCTTGACTGGATTAATAGCTGGGTTTTTTCCTCCCCCACAACTTTCACACTCTAAGTCCATAACCTTTGTCTTTTAGATGCTCTATTCTAATTGAGCACAGAAACTATAATTTACGGGGTATGATCTGATTGATGCCTTCTCAGGTCCACAAGGACCTACCTGGAAACAAAAGTTCATCCTTTGAAACCTTTTAAAAAATCATTTTTACATTGTGCACCATCATGTGCAGAAGTTGTCTCTGGTCAGTGGACCGCTGGATGGTGGCTTCCGGGGAGTGACTAACGTTCTCTGTGCCCTGCTTGCAGCTCTACAGAGCATCGGCCTTGTTTGAAACGATCCGACACGAGGCGCAGCTGAGCACGGACTACAAACTCTCCCTCTTTGACCTGCAGACCTCCTCCTACCAGGCCCTGCAGCGGGTGCTCGTCAGCCTTGGTGAGAGCCGCCGGGGTGCCCATGTCGTGCCAGCACACCTGTGTGTCTGAGTGGGTCAGGGATTGCCGTGACCAGATGCGATCTGTTGTTATAACAGAGCGTGAGGCCACAGCTGCACCCCAGTCATTGAACCTTTGTTCTTTTCAGAGTAGGTGCTATAGGGCACCTACTATGTGTGGGCCGTGTGCCAGCCCTGGAGGCCTGGCTCCTGACCTCAAGAAGCAGTTAGCCTGTTGAAAGGCAGAAGTCAGTGAGTCCAGTGTGGTGTGAGTGGAGCTAGGGTAAAAGAAACTCAGGTTTCTGAGATGCTTGAGCCAGGAGTTAGCACTTGGGTTCCCTCTCACCGTGAATACCTGGGTGGAGGACCTACGAAGGTGCCTGGCCTCTTCCCTGTCTCCTCTGCTGCACAGCTTTTACTTTGCCATCGAGTGAACATCTTTACTGGCTGGGTCTGCCCTCCGGACTGGGATATGGTCAGTGAGGCTTCTCCCAGGCCCAGGTGCTGCATTGCCCTGGGGCAGCAGGCATCTCCCTCACCGGGGTCTACAGGTTGCCTCTTCCCACTTCCCTGCCCTCTGCCTCCTCCCAGGCCTGTCGGGCTCTGCAGACCATTTCCGCCAACCCAGAGCTTGGGTGGAGGAGGGGTCTGGCCGAACTGATCTTGGAAGTTGGGTGTCGAGGCCTTGTCAATAAGCTGGCCTCTGCTGCGTATCTGTGAATGCTCAGAACTTCCCCTTGAAAAACATACCCATTAAATGTGCCCGTTGCCTGGGATTACAATTTATTATCTATTATAATCACAGTGTTAAGTCTGCCTAACACTTTGGGGCCGATTTTCCAATGTGCACAGAAATCATCCCTGCGGTTCCAGTTAATAACTTAATAGGGTAAAAGAAGACATTTGCATACACACCCATAAATCCCCCCTCTCTGCTGACGCTGGGACTGCAGCAGGCTAGGCATCTTTGACGTGTCTGCGAGCGGCAGCATCTGGTCTCCTGCCTCTGCCTGCTCTCTCTCTGGACCCTTGTTCTAGCAAATCTTCTGTATCTCTGTTTATGATGCAAGCAAAGCTTCTGCATTATTTTCCTTCTAAGCACTCTAAACAGTCCTCGCTTGAAAGCATGTTGTTTTAGATTTTTTGTGCCTCATGTTTGTGCATTAACTTTTAAACTAGATAACAGACTAGTGTCTTAGGGAAAGTAGGCTCAGAAATTGGATTGAAAGAGAGAAGCCATTTCAAAGAACAAAAGGCTTCAGAGGTTTAAGCCCTTTGCCCCCCGGGGACTAGAAAAGCAGAGAAGAGAAGCAAGTTGTGTAGGAGCCTGAAATGGAATGAAGGATCTGCTCTAACCATAATAACATCACCTTTTCTCTTTGTGGTACTTTGAATAAGCCATGCAGGCATCCTCACACATGGCACCACAGTTCATCTTTACAGCAACCCTTCGGGGTAGATGGGGTGACTGTTAGGACCCTCCTTTTGAGACCAGGCCAATGAAAGGGGAAAGGACACCCTCAACAAAGGGCCTGGCTAGGGAAACGGCAGAGAGGTACAACTTGGGGGAGGGGGCGCAGTGTGCAAGAGGGGCTGGACAATGCGATGCATAGAGGGGCTGCAGCTAAGAGAGAAAGATGGTAAGGACTTAGCTCCTGTGGGGCTTGTCTGCCAAGGCCAAATCAGAATCAAAGTTGAGCAGTGAAGTGAGAGGGGTAACCAAGTGCAAAGCATCAGGTCCAAATAGCTAAAGTGAATGGGGTCAGATGCCAGGAGGCCAGGGAGCAGCTCAGGGTGTGGGTTGGAGAATGGGCTGCGCTGAGGACCATCCTCTGAACAAAGTGGGCTCTCTTGGGATGTGGCTGCAGATGGGGTGGTGAGTGGCTTAGGGTGGTGTGGAACCTGAAACTGTGGGGTTTTATATTTTTTTCTTAATATTTATTTATTTTTGAGAGGGAGAGAGAGCATGCGTGAACAGGGGAGAGGCGGCGGGTGGGGGGAGCAGAGGATCTAAAGTAGGCTCCGGGGTGTCTGCAGAGCACCCAAATCAGGGTTCGAACTCACAAACCGTGAGATCATGACCTGAGCCGAAGTCAGGCGCTCAACAGACTGAGTCAGACGCTCAGCCACCCAGACGTCCTTGAAACTGGCGTTTTAGAAGAGCAGACACTGTACTCAGCATCTGAGGCAGGGGGTTGGGTTTCAAACTGAGACTGTGCTCCACCTCGGAGTCCAGAGACGGAGGTTTCTGCCCAGGGCCTCTGTGGCCGGTGGCCCTCGGCAGACAAACACAGTCCCCAGACTCCTCACCATGTGACTTTTGTGTCCTAGGCCATCACGATGAAGCCCTGGCCGTGGCAGAAAGAGGACGGACGAGGGCATTTGCCGATCTTCTGGTTGAACGACAGACAGGACAGCAAGACTCCGACCCATACTCCCCAGTCACCATCGACCAGATCTTAGAGATGGTTAATGGCCAGAGGGCACTGGTGCTTTACTATTCCCTGGCTGCCGGCTACCTGTACAGCTGGCTGCTTGCTCCTGGGGCAGGTAAGAGCCCTTTCTGCGGGAACCGGGCACTTAAGATGCTAGACTGTGAAAGCCTAACGAATAGAGCGGGAAGAGGTGCATTACCATAGATCAGACCAAGGAGCTGACGTTGGCTTTCAGCAAAACCTCAGCCCCGGCGGATATTCCATGGTGGGGTGGCCAATTAATAAGACAGCCCAGCTTTCTCCTTCCCCCGAGAAATCGCCACTGCTGGCTGGTGAATGTGGAAGCATTTATCAAGGAACACGGAGAGCGGGAGGATTAATTTCACTAGCGGCCCTATTTTTAGGCAGCTGTTGTTCATTAGCTAATAAAGCGCTGACTGTAAGTCCTAACGAGTTCTTTCTAGATATGATTTAATAATTGTGACCCTTTGTCATGGTAAACAGACTAAAAGGAGAATGGCAACTCTTGTCACAGTATATAAATGAAGTCTTAGGCTTGGAATTTCTGAGTTTAGCAGAACCCATTTTAACCAGTTCTGTCGTAAATCTATTTTAGAAGTAAAAATCCCCTTTGATTAAATCGGCATTAAATGTTCCGGCTGAAACAGTTTCACTAAATACAGAACCACTAATTAGCTGTTAGGGCCATATTTTTTTGCATAATAAAATGCTGATGGCTTCACCACGTTGGAGACACACCAGATCCAATTAGAGTTTATTGACTGGGGAAGTGGATCTTATAATTGGGAATCTTGAAGAATGGGCTTCTTGACTATCTGTAAGCCAGTTTCAAAAAGTTCAACTGCCACAGAGAACTGACAAGATTTTCTTGATTGTGTTTCTATCCCTTTGATTTAAAAAAAAAAAAAAAAGATATGATGGCTAAATGACAACTCTCAGATATCTCTTGGCTTCTCCACACTCCTGCCCATACACTCTCTGCCTCTGCCTTATTTTTTATAATCTTTTCCTCTTAATCCCATGTTTTTTGTGGGCTTTCCATAAAGAACATTCTGGCCTTTCTATGCGGAAGGTTTTAGTTGTGATGTCCATGGTGACTTGGTGAGTGTCAGCTACAGTGGAGCGAGTCCCTGTGCATCCCAGCCCCTGGAGGGGCACTGCTACGCAGGAGGACACGGCTGGTGATGGAGGTATCAAGCTCTTTCTCTCTGTCATTGTCATGTTTGGGGGACATGGTTTGACAGGTGGTATATCCAAATCTCTGTAATAATGAGCCATGTATAATGAGGCTCCTATTGTTCCTCTTCCCCTTCCTCTTTGCTCTTAATGAGACTCTGAAGCTTTCGCTGGGGCTCTAATCCAATCAGAGAGAACCAGCATTTTCCAGGGCTGACACACCTCATTACCATTTGAGAATATGCCCTATGTTTATTGCCAGAAAACCACTATGGATTGCTTCAGTTTCATGCAGCCATAATTTTTTGCTCCTTTAATCCATTAATGATGGTTGACCAGTTAGTCTTATTTAAAAATGGTTTAAAAAATGTTTTATCTGGCCTTTGTATGACACATTTATTTTGCCTTGCTTTTGTGAAATGAAAGGTCTTTGAGTGATACAGTTTCCACTTGGCCAGTTGCATTTGTGTTCAGGAGCTCAGCTTCTGGGGAGAATATACCTTGGCATGTTCATATACTATTTGGGAAAGCACCTAGTTGGTGCTTCTGAGAAGCAGCTATTTCAAAATACACATGAAGTTGTCAGCATTCCATGAGCTTCTTAATACATCTTCAGAAGCAGAAGACTTGTGTTGAATTCCCCCATTTCAAGCCCCAAATTTGATGGGGGAAGCTGTAGAAATGGGTACTGAACAAACTTCGGAAAGCCCTCTTTCAACCTCAGATTTCAGGATTTCTTCACCTTTCTTTCTTCTGGAGCATGTTGGACGGCGTGCTTGCCAGAGAAGCCTGTGCCCCGCCCTTCACCTCTCCCTCCCGCGACCCCAACCTGGTGTAATGTCAGCTGTGGTTTTGTTTCAGGAATTCTGAAGTTTCACGAGCACTACCTGGGTGATAACACAGCGGAAAACTCTAGCGACTTCCAGACTGCCAGCAGTGCGTCCCTTCCAGCAGCCTCCAGTTCGGCCCTGGAGCAGCACATCAGCAGTGTGCGGGAGGCCCTGGGGGTGGAGTCTTACTACTCAAGGCAAGTGGTCCATTGTCTCTAGTCCCTTCTTCAGGGGCAATCCCAGGGTCCTCGGTTTTTTTATCTCTTTCTTTTGTAAACAGCCTATTCGAGCTAAATGGAAGAAATCTTTTGGAATTGGCACTTTTGTGCCTAGTCTGTTCACAGTTGCTGCAGGAGAAACAAATCTGTGTCTCTGGTATCCAAACCCCTTCATGAGCTGTCTTTTTTCTTTCTGGTAATTTCCTTTCAGACAGGGAAAGGCCTCATCGGAGATGCCCATTTTCTAAGGAGGGTTTGTAGAATTTTTAAACATACACAGGACTTTGAATTTAACAGCCCAGCTAATTAAAACTGAGATGATTTTGGGGTTATAAACCGATTAATAATGAGTTTGTTTGTTGTAGCTGAACGCCTATCTAGGAAAGTAATTTAACACTAGTGACAGGATCCGTGCCCAGATCTGTGTGCTGGGGGGCTGAGGTGAGGGAAGTCGAACTCCCAGTATGGAGAATAGAGAAGGGAAGTGCTTCTTGCAAAGGTTATAAAAGCTATATGCTTATAGAAACATTGTATCACGATTGACTGTTTTACATACAGAAAATTATTTCCACAAGCACCCTGCTTCTGGGGAAAATAGAAAGAAGAGGGTATCATAAAGCTGGGTGGTAGCGGAATTTCCTGGTATCTCAGTCTGTCTTGTGCTTAACAAGTGTCGAGAAAGTCCCTATGTCAGAGAATCTGCTGTGTTAGCTGGTGTCAGGTCTCCAGGACATCTGCTTGTCTCTTGAGTGATTTCAGTTGCAAAATCATGGAAATCCCAAGATATCCCCAAAATTCTTTAGAGATGCTTATCCCAGACTCCTGAGTGTGTGTTGGTCAATGCCAGCAGCTGGATTGATCTTCGGGATATTTATGAAGTTGGAGACAAGTTCTTAGATGAACTTGGATAATGTCATGTCAAGTGTGGAAGGTGCTGTAGGGTCTTCTAGCTGAACTCCTTTATGTAACAGAAGCCAGCACGGAATAAGACTGCTGACAACCAAGTTAGTGTCAGAGCCAGGATCACAACAGCAGAGATCTCACCCAGACTCCCAGGCCACTGCTTGCTATGTTTTTAATTATCAAAATTAATATCATATTTTGAGAAAATAGCCGAAGCATGTAAGAATGTCATCTCCAGCTTCTGTGTGCATAAAGTATGAACAGGCTTCAACCACATGCACACATTGTTGTCTTATTTCTCCTAAGGCTATGGTGCATCGTGGAGCATCCCTCTCCATAACCCTCGGCAGGAGTGTGGTGATTACAGGGGCTTGACAGCGTGCTAACCCCAAGAACTTGGAAGTAAGGCTGTTCTCTGAAATGTATTGATACATGGCCATAAAATAGGTGAGGCCAGGGATGTACAAAGGTGCTTCAGCAGGCAGAGAGGCACGTCAGACAGTCTGATCCCACTGTAATCTGACCTAAGGTATCACACATCCAAAGTGAGTGTTAAAGAGGAAGGTTGGCCAGCGGTGGAGACACAAAAAACAAGGGAGGAAAAGGAGAGCAGATTCAGGCAGTGCCCATTCCTGTCACTGTCAAAGAGAGAGTCTTGGCTCAGGGACTTAAAGTTCCATTGGAAGTCTGTTCCCACAGTAGTCTTTGTGCTCTCTTATCCTTCGGCTGCCCCCCATCCCCTTCCACAACTGTTGGAACACATGGAACCATGTGGCACTGTGGTGGCCGCACCTGGGTCAGCTCAGTCCAAACCAACCCTGATGGGGCTGAGCCTGTGTGAAAATATAGATTTTACTTGATCCCAATCTAGATTAAGATTCATCATAAGAAGGAAGGGGACTACCCTTGGAAACTCCCCAATGCCTGCCGCCACCTCTCATTGGGTACCATGTTTAACTCCAGACACTTGTGTCCAAGCTGGTCTTTTATATGATACTGGAGGTTGAGTAATTTTGCTTCCAGGTAGGTGACTTTTGAATTGAAAAAAAAAAAAGGCTGTGGGGTTATAGTTCAGCTCTTCATCAGTGGGAGAGTTGGGGGACTGTAACTGGCTTATCTTCCTCTGCTCTATATGACAAGTTAGGATGAGTCTTTAGGGATCTCTAGAAGATCAGGTGGCTTGATGCTTAGCATGACTTTGTTGGGCTCCCCTTCGTAGCTTCATTGCCCAGTTTAGACTGCCAGAAGCAGGGTCTTTTCTGATGCTTTGGACTAGTAATATTAGAAATTTGTTCGTATTTTGTGAGCTTAAACTCAGAATTGAACACTTCATTGGCATGATTTGAATTTACTAGAATGGAGTTCTGTGAGACTCTGGTTTCTGCCTCACAGTTTCATGAAAACAAGTATGAAAATTTCAGTAACAGATAAATTATTTTTCATCTATAAAATTTTTAAATATTTTTAAAGCAGTGCTTAATAGTAATATAAAGATGCAGTCAATGAGCAGTATGTAGGGATATAAATTGGTACAGCCTTTCTAAAAATAATTTGCCAGTAGTATCAAAAAGCTTTAAAATGTTAATGCCTTATGACCCCAAAATTGTCATTTTGGAAATGGAGTAAAGAAGTATACATAGGAATATTTATCATAGGTGTGTATATTATAGAAAAATTTTTAAACCTAAATGTCCACAATAATTGAATGTCAAATTATTTTGTATATATCCAATATAATATTACATTGTAATTAAATTAGGTTTCCAGAGAATTTTTAATCACATGGCCAAATGTTTCTGACAAAATATTATTTGAAAAAATAGGATATAGGATTATTACATATAATGTAACTTAAATTTTGTAAAATATATAAAATATGGGTATGAAATGTAAGAAAAAAATCCTTGGAAGGAAACAGACTGTAGAGTTAGTGGTAATTATAGTCGGATGGTGGAATTACTGATGCTTACTATTTTATTCTTTATACTTTTCCCTATTTTCAGTTTTTTCACAATGGGCATTTATTACTTTTTAAATTAGTAATAAATAGCCACGACTAAGCAACTCTATCATTCAAAGGGGGGGAAAAAAAGAAACCTTTCTGTAATCGGTTTACAGAGAACAAAATCCAAGTGTTGAAGCCTGACACCGTGCTCTGTCTCTATGAAGGCATTCCGGATTTATTTTCCATCTTGTCTCTGGGTGGACACCACGCACCATGTCCTGTGCCTTCTCCCCCTTTGCTCCAACTCGGGCGTCTTTAGCCTCTGAACCTGTACGTGCAGCCGCTCACTAAACATCTCCGCCTGGGCATCTTCTGGGCACCTCTCGTCTAAAATATCTAAATCCCAACTCTTGAGTTTGCTCATTTCCCTCCTAAGTCAGTCGTTGTAGTACATCCCACATCAGCAGAATGAAGAACAGAAACTATATGAGCATCTCAATAGATGCAGAAAAGATATCTGACACAATTTAACAACTTTCCATGATGGTGGAAAAAAACGGTCAACAAACTAGAAAAAGAAGAAAATTACCTCAACATAACATAATAAAGATCATGTATGAAAAGCTTGCAGCTAATATCATAATCAGTGATAAAAACTGAAAGCTTTCCCTCTAAGATCAGGAACAAGCAAGAGTGCCCTCTCTTGCCAGTTCTATTCAACATAGTACTGGAAGTCTTAACCACAGTAATTAGGCAAGAAAAAGAAAGTCCTCCAAATTGCAAAGGAAGAAGTAAAGTTATGCCTGGTCACAGGTGACATGTTATTATATGTAGAAAACCCTAAAGATTATACCAAAAAAACCCATTAGAACTAATAAACAGGAGTGCCTGGGTGGCTCAGTTGGTTGAGCATCCAGATTTTCATTCCAGTGAGGTCATGATCTCACCATTCAAGGGATCAAGCTCCACCTCGGGCTCTGTGCTGACAGCATGGAGCCTGCTTCTCTCTCTGCCCCTCCCCTACTCACAAATGCTCTTTCTCTCTCTCTCTCAAAAATAAATAAATAAACTTATAAGAAAAAGAACTAATAAACATATTCAGCAGAGTTGTAGTATACAAAGTCAGCACTGAAAACTCAGTTGCATATCTATATACTAACAATGAATAATTCAAGAAAGAAATTAAGAAAAAAAATCCCATTTATAATAGCATCAAAAAGAATGAAATACTTAGGAATACATTTAATTCAAGAGGTGAAAGACTTGTATACTGAAAACTGCAAAATATTGCTGAAAGAAATTAAGAAAGACATAAGTAAATGGAAAGACTTCCCGTATTCATGGATTAGAGGACCTGAGATTGTTAAAATATTCATACCACCCAAAGCAACCTACAGATTCATTGTAATCCCTATCAAAATTCTGGTGGCATATTTTGCAAAAATAGGAAAAAACATCCTAAATTCATGTGGAACCTCAAAGGACCCAAAAAAGCTGAAGCAATTTTGAAGAAGAAAGACAAGCCAAAGGCCACATACTTCCTGATTTCAAAACATCACAAAGTTGCAGTAATCAAAACTGTCAGGTACTGGCATAAAGACAAAGACACGCAGGCTAATGGAATAACATAGCCCAGAATTAAACCCTGACATATAGGTCAAATGAATTTTCTCAAGAGTGCCAAGGCTACACATTAGGGGGAAGGATAGTCTCCTTAACAAATGGTGCTGGGAAAACTAGATAGCCACATGCCAAAGAATGAAGTTGGACCCTTGTCATACACCATATATGAAAGTTAACTCAAAATGAATTAAAAACCTAAAACATAAGACTTGACAATATAAACCTCCTAGGAAAAGCTTCGTGGCATTGGATTTGCAACTGTTTCCTGGCCTTGACACCCAAAGCACATACAGGTAACAAAAGCAAAATTATGCAAGCAGAACGACATCAAGTTTAGACTTCTGCACAACAAAGGAAGCAATCAACAGGGTGAAAAGGCAACCTATGGAATAGTTTGCAAACCATAGATCTGATAAGAGGTTAAAATTTAGAACATGAAAAGAACTCCTACAACCTAACAACAAAAACAATCTGATTCAAAAATGGGCAAAGGACTTGGATAGAAATT